ATATATATGATTTATTTACTTTTATTGGAAAGGCAGATTTGCAGAGAGAAGGAAAGAAAGAAATATCTTCCATTTGCAGCTTCACTTCCCAAATGGCTACAGTGGCCAGAGTTGAGTTGATCCGAAGCCAAGAGCTAGAAGCTTTTTCCAAGCCTCCCATGCAGGTGTAAGGTACCAAGGCTTTGGGCCATCCCTTGCTGCTTCCCCAGGCCACAAGCAGGAAGCTGGATGGGAAATGGAACAGCTGGGACACAAACCAGCACCCATATGGGATCCCATGCTTACAATGTGAGGATTAGCTAATCCAGCCATTGTGTCAGACCCATATCAAATATCTTTTTTAAAAAAATGGGACAGGGTTGGCTGTGGCATATATGCTTAAGCCTCCATCTGCAGCACTGGCATCTCACATGGGAGCTGGCTCCTATCCGAGTTGCTCCACTATCAATCCAGCTGCACACTATGGATTGGGAAAGCAGTGGATAACGGCTCAAATCTTGAACTCCTGCAGTCACGAGGGAGACCTGGAGGAAGCTCCAGGTTCCTGGCTTCAGATCGCCTGAGTTCTAGTTTTGTGGCCATTTGAGGAGTAAGGCAATAGATGGACAATCTCTCTGTCTTTCCTTGTCTAACTCTGCCTTTCAAATGAAAAACTAAAATAAAAACCTTTTTTTAAAAATGGACAACAGAGATGAACCAACCTGTTCCATTTTTCCTCCTACCAAATGGGTAAGAATTCACCTCAAATCGTCCAGTGGGCTGGAAATATCCAAGAACTCAGGGGCTAGCACTGTGGTACAGCGGGTTAGACTACTACATATCACACTGACTTCCCCAATAGAGCAACTGTTCAAGGCCTGATGCCTCTGCTTCTGATTCAGTACCCTTCACTCGGTCTGGCAAGACAGTAAAAGATGGCCAAGGGCTCAGGTCCCTGCTGCCCACATGGGAAATACAGATGGAGTTCCTGGCTCCTCACTTCAGCCTGGCTTTTCAGCCCAGGGTATTGTGACCATTTGGACAATGAACCAGTGGACAGAAAATCTCTCTCCCTCTGTCACTCAGCCTTTCAAGTAAAATAAATAAAAAATAACAATAAATATTTTTTTAAAGGAAACATGGGTTTTGCAGGAGTGAACATGAATGTTGATGGAAACTACTTTAGAATTTAAATCCCAGACATCTGTAGCCCAGAAAATTCAATTTACTTTCAGAAATCTATGATGCAGATAAACACATGCATAGGCAAAGACTCATGGACAGATAGGATCAATACAAACTTGTTTATAATAGTACATCAATGAGAAATTGGTTAAATAATAGTATACCATAAAATGAAAACTGCAGTCACTGGAAGAAATGAAATATCTATACTCACTGACAGAAAATTATTCCACAATATAAAATTGAGGGAAAAAAAACAAGTACCCTATACCTCATATACTCAGAAGTTTTGTGCAAAACATGAGAAAAATCTCATGGAAAACAGAATTACAAGATAATGCAAGAGCTCCTAGTACGTAGAGATATGCATGGCATATCATACACAGGACAGATCTTGACAGCTCTTAAAAACGGTTGCTTCTGTGGTATTTACTACATACATCACACACTGCATCTTTAGGACCTGGAGTTTTTCAAAATCATTCATTTTAAAAGGCGTCATCTCTAGACACAGCCTAGGCACTATGAATTCGTATTGTTTGTGTCCTCTACGAGCTCACACACAGATGTGCTGACTCAAAAGAAACTGCTTTTACTACAGGCAGTACGCACTCCTCTTAAGAATTCATAAATGGATGGTTCCTACAAGAGATGCACATGACACAGTAAGAAATCTGTCACACATGTGTTAGTTAATAGTTGATATCAAAGGCTTGTGCAATATGCTTTTCATAGCATCTACCAACACTGTAGCACAATTTATCAAGTTGGCTGCCTTTACCTCTTGAAAGGTGGAATCCTCAACAGAAAAATACAACGCCAAATTTAAGAGTTCTGATACGGAAAACCAAGATTCTGCCCCTCAAATGCAGTATGATGACACTTGGACAACCAAAATAAGCGTGCTTAAATTATCAAGATTGCTATGAAGCAGCAAACAAAGAATTTGGAATCACTGAAGATTGAGAATTGCACAATTTTGCCTGCACAGAGAAATTACATATGTATTAAAGGTGTTCTAATCAAAAACTTTCCAAAACAATTCATCATTTTCTCATTAAAAATACTTCACAAAAAAATTTACAGAACCCAATCGAAGCCATTACTACAAAGCTAAAGGAATCAAGACTGTGTGGTGCTGACAAAAGGGAAAATCCACCCAGCTCAGTGGAATACAACAGAAACTCCAGAAATAAACTCCCACGCTCAACTAATTTATTTGCTACAAGGGTGCTAAAACAACTTAATGTAAGAAAAAAATTTTTTCAATGAAGAGTACTAGGGCAATTGGATAGTTATATGTGAGGGTGAAGCTGAACTCCAAACTCATACCATACGCAAAAATTAAAGTGGATAATAGACCTAAATGTAAATGCTAAAAGCGTAAATCCTTAGAACAGGTGTAAATCTCCATGGCCATGAATTAAACAAGGCCTTCACAGATGACACCAAAAATAACAAAAGAAAAAAATAAATTGGATTTCTTCAAAATTAAAAACCATTGGGCCTTCAAGGCCACCAGAAAGTGAAATAACTCACAGAAAAGGAAGAAATTCTGGCAAACCACATTATAATGGATTTGAATTTGCATCCTGTAAGAAACTCTCAGGACTCAAGGAAAACAAATTTAGAAATGGGCAAAGGATGTGAATAGACATTTGCCCAAAGATACACAAATAACCAAGAAGAGGCATATTAAAAGATGCTAAACAGCATCTTTTCATTATCAGATTAATGCAAAACACAAAAAACAAAACAACAGCAAAAAAAAAAAAAAAGGAAACACACAGGTGGATCCTAGTTCACCACTTGGCGGCTATAATTCAAAATCAGATAATAAATATTAATGATGGCTCAGTGACGATCTCCTCACCTTGCAAGCACCAGCATCCCATACAGGTGAAGTTTTGTGTTCCAAATGCTCCACTTTCAATCCAGCTCCCTGCTTCTGGCCCAGAAAAGCAGGAGAAAATGACCCAAAGCCTTGGGAACCCGCAACTGTGTGGAAGACCTGGAAGAGTCTCCTGGCTTTTGATCAGCTCAGCTCCAGCTGTTGTAGCCATTTGCAGAATCAGCAGATGGAAGATCTTTGTCTCTATTTCTAAAATCTGACTTTAAAATAAAAATAAATAAATCTAAAAAAACAAAGTTAGAGCAGATACAGAGAAACAGAAAGCCTCATACACGGCTCCTACAGTATGACCACTTTGGAAAAGTTTGCCAGTCCCTCAAAATGTCAAACTTAGTTACAGTAGGACCCAGCAAGCCAACTCCAAAGCACATTTCCAAAGAGAAATGAATGCTCACACAGAGAGGCACTAGTGATCAATCAGGCAGGTGTCCGTATCTGCGAAGCACTTAGCAATAAAGCAAAGGGGGGGAAATTAAACAAAAATTTAAGATGACCTCTATCAGGACAAACAGCTGCAGAATGAATGGGGATATTGGTATATACAAAGAGGTGACATTAAAATTCTAAACTTTTTAGCAAGCAGGGTCACAGGCTTCACACAAATACACCGTAATTCTTCTCACATCCTGTTTTAGCCCAGCATTTTTACAACAGTCAAAACAAATCAAGAGTTTTTCAGTCAACTTTTATTTAAATAGGACTGGAGTTAATAATGAAGGTCAAATGTCTGAGCTGGACCACATAGGCCAATTGAGACCTGGTTGCTAGCAATCATTAAAATGATGCTCTTTGGCTGGTGCTGCAGCATTTGCACGTTAACCTGCTGCTTAAGGTGCCAACATATGGATGCTGGTTCAAGTCCCAGCTGCTACACTTTCAATCCAGCTCCCTGCTAATGTGCCCAGGAGAGCAGAGGAAGATGGCCCATACCCTTGGGCTGCTGTAACAGCATGGAGATCCAAAAGAAGCTCCAGACTATGGCTTTGGCCTGGCTCAGGGGATGTAGGGAGTAAAGCAGAGGATAGAAGACCTACCTCTCCCTCTCTTTGTAACCTCTCATTAAAAAAACAAAACAAAACAAACCCTACAAACCTGTAGGAATATTTTAATGTAAAATGCTTAACACTTAAAATTAGCAAAGCTTCATTTAAATTAAAATTCCATCTAACTAAAGATGGTTAACCTCAATGATTGTACAGTAGTTGGTTTCTACTGTATAATGCTAGCCCTACGCAATACACTGAAAACTGCATCACTAGCAATCAATTTTTTTTTTTTTGGTTTTCAAACAAATAAATCTTCAATAATAATAACAATGTTTTCTGTGACACTACCATCCTAAATGGGAATGCTGATTTAAGTCCTAGTTGTAATGCTTCAGATCCAGCTTCCTGTTAATGGACCTGGAAGGCAGCAGAAGATGGCCCGCCCATGTGGCGAGCAGGAGGGAAGCCCCGCCTCCTGGTTTTGGCCTGGTCCAGACCTGGCTGCTGCAGCCATCCAGGAAATGAACAGATGGATTTCTGTCTTTCCCTCTATCACTCTGTCTTTCCAATGAATCAATAAATCTTTAGAAAGTAAAAATTCCTATGATGCATCATCTAATGAAAAGAGAAATGAGTAATTTGTTTGCATTTATTTTCAAACACATTAAATAGTTTCTGCATATTCAAAATTATTCTAGAAATGAAACAAACTTAATTTTTAAAAGGCAATGGATATAAAGAGAGCTGCTACATAATCCTCCAATTACCACACTGAATAGTCTTAGTTTTTACATCATCAAATGAAGTTAAGCTCTAGTCTCAGCCCAGTATTGCATTCCCTTCTCGGGCCCCTTATTCACCTCAATTGCCACATCCTTATTTGCCCATCTCCCTGCCAAGAGAAATCCTACTCCAAGGGGAACCAGTTTCTTCCCCCCCCCCCATTATTGTGGTTCAAGCGCTGATATTACAGGTTATCCAATGTTTATAGGTTTTAGTCTCAGAATCCTAGAACCATTTCCTGAGGGACATCTTCATGTCACTAGCTTAGGATAACCTTTTAACCCACAATCGCTTCTTCTCTAGTGAGGGAACCAGTCAACGATAAATCAGCGAAGTAAGGGTATCTGAGGAGTACGTCTGGGATTTAAGTCCTAGCACTCGTCTACCTGGCACCTACCTTTCCAGGTCTGCTCCTCACTCCTCCACTCCCTTGGGACAGTCTACAGAGAGCTCAACACCTTCCACGTGTCAAGTTGTTACATCACTCATCTCCTTTCCTTGGAAACATTGCCCCTCTCCAGGCCTCGCAGCTTCCTTACTTGTTCACATCTTACTGGAAAGACTCAACTCTTCAAGTAAGCTGTACTAACACTCCCGCCCCTGAAACCTTAGGAGCGTAAGATCAGTGCCACAGCAAGCCCATGGCGTGCCAGCCTGTTGGCAATGAGAGCAAACGTCAATGACATGGGGTCACCCGAAACATGTCACCCCTGGTTGATCTTAAGATCTCTCTGGGTAAACCTGGCAAAGTTTCAATATCACGGCAATCATCTGCTTAAAATATTCACCTGCTTCCAAGTTACACAAACAATTTTAATGCAAACATTCAATATGGTAGCTTTCCCATTGCTCCCAAGATTTCAGCTCTTTCTGCTGCTGTCGGCATAGGTGGCTTCACTCCACTCTGTCTTCTTTGGATCATGATGGAATTCTGTGTGTAGGAACAAAATAAGAATAAACCACAATCAGTCATATATTAAATGTTAATTGTTTGTTAGGAATTTGCTGTTTTTGCTCAAAAAGAATATTTTAAAAATCAGGTTTTTAAAAACCCACAACCTGGTTCTAAGACTCCAGATAAATGTCTCCAAACAGTTAATAATTTAACTGAAGGGATTATTCTGATAGCGGCCCATTTGCTACAATTAGCAAGGATATCTGGATAAGCCCAAGAATATCTGAAGCACCCTCAAAAGCTTCACGGAAAACTGGAGTTTGGCGATGAATTCTAATATAAAACAGTTTGAAATCCATGCATACTTTTTTCATGAAACGAATCTTCCATGAACTTTGTGAAGACCCTCCAACTAAAGCCCACGAAGATAAGCTACTGAGTGACTAATAAACCAACTGATCACTTCTCAGAGGGAAAAAATATAACAAGGTCCAATACTTGTACTAGGGAAACAAAATACCAATGTCTTGAGAAAATGGCATCATTTTTAACGATGAAGGATGGAAGTGCAGTAGCCTATGGTGATGGCTATGGAGGAAGAAGTTAAATTCATCTCCAGGAAGATTACATTTGTAACAGTTCTCTAACACCTTAAAACAGGAAGAAATAAAGTTTTACTACAACCATCATTGCAGGGAAAAAAGGGGATTGTAGGTAATTTCAGGTCTCAGTTTCAAGCCAAAGAAATGGGTCTTTAACATAAAGCTAACCAAGCCAGGCTTACCCAAAATCTTCGGCAATTTTTGTACTTCAAGAAGTAGCTGGAACACTTTTCCCTGACATAGTTGTTTTCATCCATGCACCTGGCAGAGGCATCCGATTCCTTAAGTGAGAGAGCCATCACTTAAAAGGTGGGACGAGATCCAAAGCAGCCAAACTCTGTGGAAGCCGATTTCCTCTAAATGCATAATTTCACATGGCTAAGCTTTTTTTGTTCATTTTATTGTGGAGACACTAAAGAAGCTGAATCATGTGGCCATCATCTCAGCACTTTCTGCTCATGCATTTTCTTTTTCACAGTCAGGCGCGGAGTTCTGAATAACTGATGGCAAGAACTGGAGCCAAAGTACTGTGATCATCTAATCCAGTGACTACTTAGCAGGAAACTAAGGCAGGAGCAACCCACTCAACCTCACTGCTCCACAACTGCACAACTCGAGTCAGAACTCAGTTTTCTGACACATATTCAGCCTTCCCGGCTTTTCCAAATTCTCACTTTGACTTGAATGTTTGATCATAATGCTGGCATGGAAATTCCAAGTCTATCACTATTAACTAGTCTACATCAAGGCATCCTAAATTAATTAACACCATTCATCTCAATGTATTTTTGGCTATCATTCACTCCATTACGCAAGCAAACAAACTATTATGCATGTCATCTTAATAGATGTCATTAATAACACTTCAAAACCAAAGTGAGCAACATGGGGCTATGAGATTAAAGGAGAGTAGCTGCCATTTGGGAATTAGAGTAAGCCGTTTCAACTGGCAGTAGACTGGAGAGCAAACTTCAAAGTGAAAAATTTGATTGTGAAAAGTCATCTAATTGAAAGCTTTAATGGAATCGGTGAGTAACTTGTTTCACAAACCTAAGAAACATGTTTTATCTAAATAGATTTGTACAATAGAATTTTTTTGAAAACACAAGTTAATATACAATACACAGAAAAGCGAAATTGTACTTTTTTCAAGAAGCTATAATTGAGGGGTATAATTCTCACAGACACCAGTGTGATGGCTGAATTATTCAAGGGTGGCCAAGCTATATGGCACTATTTAGTGAAGGTCATACCAAATAAATCTCAATGAAAATGTATTATCACAGCAAAACCTTTTGTTTGTAAGAGCTGTGTGAAAACTTGTAGATTTTCAATAGGCTAATTCTATTACCAGCCTGTTATTCTCAGCCAGCAGTGTCTCATGGACAAGATGAAATTATTGTTAGTAAAACATTAATTTCAATGACAATTTTAAAATGTAATTTCCTCTCATTTTCCATGATTGGACTAAGGATATTTTCCTCAGTGTTATATACATTTCCTTTGTTTTACAGCTATGACTAAATATTTGCATATTAAACAAATAAAAATGAGGAAAAGATGAATCTTTGTTGGCTAAATTGTGAATTTCTGAAAGTGCTCTTGTGAAAAAAAAAAGGATAGCCAGCCAAGAATATTTTGTGTACGGAAATAACTTTATTCAACAACTGCAGAAAACAGATGTCCACAAATTTAGAATAAGCCTGTTTTCCCAACTTAACACTGATGAAAACGAAAAAACAAACTACCCTACCGACAAGCAAGGATTTATGTCCGGATCTCTCAGCCTTGGTGTTGCCAAGGGCATCTTAGCGGTCTTCTTACTGAAGAAAGACAAGAGAAAAAAGGAGTTAGGGAATGGATAGCAAAAAATCAGGAGAACAGAGGAGTTATGAAAAGAACGGTAGAAAAGCAATCCATAGTCTCAAAAACCCCATGAGTTCTTGAAAATTTAGTTTTGGCATCATGGTCACCTAGTAAAAGCCTTCACATATACTTTGTACTTTGAGAATTAAGACTTGGATGTGTGTATGTTACTGTTGTCACTGGTACCTCAACACAAAGGCCATCCTGAAATCCATCTTCTGAAGATCGACTTAGTCCAGTAAGAAAGACAATCCAGGGGCAGCACGACGGTTCTATTAGCTCATTCCTGCCTGTAAGCACCAGGATCCCACATGGGCACCCATTCATACTCCAGCTGCTCTACTTCTCATCCACTGGAAGCTGGCCCAAAGCCTTGAGTCCTTGTACCCATGTGGAAAACCTGGAGGAAGCTCCTGGCTCCTGGCTGTGGATCAGCTCAGTTCAGGCTGTTGGGTCATTTTGCGAGTGAACCACAGGATGACAGATCCTTCTCTCTATAACTCTGCCTTTCCAATTAAAAAAAAAAGAGTTGCCATTTACACTCCTTTTTAAAGTTTCAACAACTAAATATACTAACAAATCTAATAAGATGAATTGCAGCAATTATTATACATTGATTGGCGAACTAAAAATGGAAAAATTCAGTAGTGCTCAATTTTGGCAAAAACCTTTTATCAACTAAAATTAGAGTCCCTATTCTGTGACTAGCACCAGGACAGCCAATATACCAAATAGGCAAGTTAATGCTTACCTGACATTTGAAAACATGATGTTTAAAAATAAAAGTTCAAATTTTACTTTCCGTGGCATCTTCTACCTGCTACTTCTCTTAGCTAAAGGAAGTCATGGAATGGCACTGCTGTGCAATAATCTTCCAACTCAAATCTTAGAAACCCAACCTTGTAAATGTACTTATTAAGAATGACCACAGTTCCAAGAACACATCATAGACTCATGCAATATCAACTACATCCCAGGGAAATGCTCTCCTTAACAGAGTTGAGATTAACCTGATATGCCTATTGTCTTCAAAGATATGTCACACAAAGGGACTCAAAAGAGAAAATTCAAAAACTAACAACTAAATGCCTTAGTCATTCCAGCATTTTTTTTCAATTTCAGCATATTGGTATACTATTAACAAACCATCCACAACAGTTTAAGATACTGTGGACTAACTAAGCTGAAGGGGTTGATGTGTTTTTAAAATCTGTTCCAGTATAATCATCCTTTCACCTAAACCCTGAAGAAGACAGCCAAGTAGTGAGATCACCCAACTCGACCGACTAAAAAATGTAGTGTTGAGGGGCTGGCACCATGGCATAGGTCTAGCTGCCACCTGTGGCACAGGTATCCCAACTAGTGGCCACTCCATTTTCCCACCCAGCTCTGTGCTGGTGTGCCTGGGAAAGCGGAGGGAGATTTCCCCAGATCCTTGGGCCCCTGCACATTTGTGGGAGCTCTGGAGAAGCTCCTGGCTCCTGATCGCTCTCTGTGGTCTTTCGGGGAGTGAACCAGTGAATGGGAAGATCTCTCTCTCTCTCTCTCTCTCTCTCTCTCCCTTCCTCCCTCTCAAACTCTGTCTTTCAAATAAAATATATAAAACTTTTTAAGTGGTGCATTGGTCAGTCTAAGTAGCTGGAGGTAAAAATTTTCATATGAAATGTTCCTAATTCCCTTGGCCAAGGTGGGACATCTGAAAAAAAGTCATATTAATAAGAACATTTCTGGAAAAATTATTAAGCCAAAGAAACTCGAGGCAGCTGGAGGCATTCTCAATCGAGAATCTCCCAGTTCCATCTCCTCTTTTACGGTGAAGCGAAGGGAGAACAACCTTTGCAAAGAAGGACGGAAACAGGACAGGCTATTCTGGAGGCCTGCGACTGTCCACCACTAAACAACCATTTCATGCTTTCCATGAACAATATGTAAAAATAACCAGTCAACCAAAAGCAAAGACAGAAACCTAAGATGCTATTCAACTGTATGTACAAGTTTTTGTCGTGAGCATGCTTTTGTAGCCCTGAATTCTTCCCAAGAAGAGATGCTGATAGTCTACTCAGTGCCTTCTTTTGAAAGCTTACAACTGTCTTAGGAGGCCAGACAACAGAACTCTGCTTAGCAGTGTCCACCCCTCAGATAAGATCATCTCAACAGGGGGCTAGTGCAATAACTCAAAGGCTAAATCCTCATCTTGCATCCACCAGGGATCCTGTATAGGCGCTCGTTTGTGTCCAAACTGTTCCACTTCCCATCTAGCTCCCTTCCTGTAGCTTGGCAAAGCAGTAATGAACAGTCCAAATTCTTGGGACTTCGCACCCAAATTGGAGGCCTGGAAGAAGCTCCTGGCTCCTGGCTTCAGATCAGCTCATCTCCGGCCATTGTGGCCACTTGGGGAGTGAACCAGTGGATGGAAGATCTTTATCTCCTTCTCTCTCTGTATATCTGCTTTTTCAATAAAAACTTTAAAAAAATCACCTCAACAATTATTGGGTGCAAGAAAACACTTCAAGATTCCTACTTTACATGAAAGTCTTCCCCTCTTTTGCATCATCATCATCATAAGAACTCTAACAGTAACACTTAAGTCTCATCACAGGCACCCCGGGTTAGAGCTGCCACCTGAGCTTGTTCACAGAGCACTTCCTCTTCCTTCCGGATACCAAATACAAGTCACTCCAAGCTGGTGTTTCCGAATGTCACTTCCTCTGCATGAATTCCTTCTGTATTAACTAGGACTGGCGGGGCTGAAGAGCCCGGGGCTCTGCCAGGACGCCCTTTCAAAAGGCGCAGTTCTAAGCAAAGGTCACAGGCAGAAGGCGGCAAGGAAGAGACCCGGACACAGGTGTCAGGAAGGGGGACGCACGGCGGCAGTCCATCTGAGGAACAACTTGAAATGCACTCCAAGGGCAAAGCACTTCACGGAGCGGCTCGCCCAAGCAGTTGTTCTCGGCTCCACTCTCCGAGCAGCTCACAAGAGACAGAGGGAAGGGAGCGCCACTAACACGGCCAGGCCCCTAGAGGCTTGGGGGGCGCACACCGGGCAGGGTCGGCCCGAAGCCGAAACGCACCACCCCGGGGACCTGCTGCCGGGTGCAGGGTGCAGGGGGGTCGAGGCCCCGAACCCAGAGTGGCACGTCGGTAGAGAACCTGCGGAGCTGTCGGCCTGAGGCCTCCCCGCCTTCCGCGGGGCCGCCGGGGGCGGGCACAGGTGGACACACCTGGTTCGGAGCGAGGCACAGGCAGGGAATTAGAGGGTGAGAGCAGGCGATCTCGCTTCCGAGGCTGCAGGAAGAGCTGGGCAACCGGCACGAGTCAGCTTCCTCGTCCCGGCCACACAGAACCATGCGGCGAGACCACGAAGCCCGGGCAGGGAGTCGGCGCCTCCGCAGGGCCTCGGCCCGAGCGGCTGCGCCCGGCAGACGGAGATTCGGACCCCGCGGCGGCCGTGGAGGGAGGGGCAGGGAACCACTCACCTCGGGCCGCCGCTTCGCCACCACCCAGGCCGTCTCCAGCTCCAAACACGTCAATGGCTCACGCAGCAGGACCTTAAGTAGCGCGCACCCCAACATGCTGCCCCCGCTCCCCGGCGACCGCTCGCCCAATCGGCGCGCGCTGCCGCCGGACGGACACCCGCGCCGGGCTCTGAGCGACGGGGGAGGGCGGGCCTCGCCCCGCCCCCAGCCGGCGGGAGGCGGGCCGAGGCGGGAGGAGTGGGCGGGGCGGCGCGCGAGGCCCCGCCCCCGCCCCGCCCCGCCGCGCTCCCCTTCCCCCCTCGCACCCCGCGCCGCGGCCTGCTGCCGCACACTGGCGCCTGACGGACGGCGTCCCGGACCAATCGGCCTGCGAGGCCGCGGCGGCGGCGGCGCGGACTGGCCGGCCCCGGGGCGGAGCGCGCGGTGGGGCGGTGCCGGGGGGCGGGCGCAGCGGCGGGTGGGGGCTGGGGGCGGGCCGGCGGGAGGCGGGGGCGGCGGCCGAGCAGGCCGGGGGAGGCGGCGGTGGGCGCGACGTCGGCGGCGGCGGCGGCGGCGGCGGCGGCAGCTGCAAGTTGGGCTGCAGGGGCAGCGCATACACTACAATGGCTGCTGGAAAGAGGCGTAAGGAAACAATTTCCAGGCCCGCCGCGTCCAGCCCGAAATATGAGAAAAAAATTATTAGAAATTCCGCGGGCGGTGTAAAGGCGGCGGACGGGCCGGAGGGAGGATGTTAAAGCCCCGCGGTGAGTTCTCCCGGGGTCCGGGGCGGCGGAGAGGCGTTTAGCGGGAGAAATATCAGGGTTATTTAAATTATGGGACTCGCCGAGGGGGCAGAGGAGCAGCGGCGGCGGCAGGAGGAGGAAAAGTTTGTGCTACTCCCAGCCCCTGCTCAGGACCCCAGAGAGAAAAAAATAATAATAAAAAAAATAAAATAAAATAATCCGGCGGGGCTGCGAGGACTCCCGAAGTCGCTTCTGACAGGGCAGGGGGCGATGCGGCTGGGGACCCGAAGGTGAGGTCGGTGGGAAAAAAAAAATACCTTTTATTCAGGGTCTGGAAAGTTTGAAAAGTTTTCCTCCTCCTCCTCCTCCTCCTCCTCGTCTCTGGTGCTGTGAATATTGTGACAGCGGCAGCGGCAGCAGCGAGAGCGGAAGACATTAGAGACCCGAAAAATAAGGGAAAAATTAATATAAATTCAGTTTTGAGAGTAAACTCTCCGCATTTTCCACCAAAACATCCCGGGGGAAGGTCGCTTCCCAAGGGGCCTGGCGGAAACCCGCGGTCGGCAATATTTGGGGGGCACTTTGAGTGACTTGGGGTAACTTTGCCCCTTTTTCGAAAGAGGTTTTTTCTTTTCTGGAGAAATGCATTTGTTTTCTGCCCTTTCCTCAGGTGGGCGAGCCGGGGTCGGGGTGCGGGGTCTGCGGGGAGGTGTGAGCCCGGGGTGTGTGGCTGCTGGGGGGGGCAAGGGGGAGGGGGGTGCTAAATGAAAGCAGGAGAGCGGCACACAGCAGGGACAGCTTGTTGTCAGTATCATAAACAACCAAAATGGAGGGAGAACTCAGGCATATAACCAAATAAAAATTTTTAAAAAATCGCAAAAAATCCCTAAAAGTCCGAGATGCTCCCCCTTTTCTCGCTCAAGGTAAAAGTACGAGCCGCCTTTCCTCTGAAGCCCATTTTGACTTTACAGGGACCAAGGAGTTAATATTTATTTATTTTTTTTAAACTTTCGAAGGGCAAAAAGCCTTTTATAACTCAACCGACAATGAGAAAACGTGAAAATCCGATGCAAGAGAAGCAGGGGGAGGGAGGGGGGAGGTGTTAGTGCAGAAACTGCTAAACTTATTGGTAATGGGGACTGATCTGAGATAAGATAAACACTATATTTGCTATTTTATAATTCCCTTTTAATGATCTTTCGGGGTGTGGGGTTTTTTTTTTTTTGGTGGAAAAAAAGTGATGCCATTTTCTTAATAGAGTTAATATGTGTGATAGCAAGAATAAACCTTTCCTGCTTTGGATTGCATTTTCGTCGCATTTATGCTTCAGGTTTTGTTGGTGGCTCCCTCCTTTCTTTAAACTGGGCTCTCCAGAGGAGGGTAGGGAGGTGCTGGTGTCCAGAGAGCCTGGGCTGCGAGAATGGACTGCCTTGTGGGGAGGGCCGGGGAGCTGCCTGGTTTTTTCCCCTTCCTGACATATTTGCTTCACCTGTTCATCCTCCCTGGGGAAGGTGAAGCTGAGGTTTTCTGGTTTTACGTCTGGACAAGGATGGTGCCTCTTGCATCACATGGATGTGAGTGGGAAAGTGCTGCTGATGTTGGTTCCACGTGGGATATGGGACCGAGCAGGGCATTTTAAAGGGACAGCTTCTCTTTTCTGGTAGCTGTGGCCACCTACACAGCATCTCTGTCTGAGGACCCACAACAGAGGTGCTGCCAGGGTATGGTGGAGGGAGAGCCTTCTCTTTCCATGACCCAAGTGCACCCAGCTTTGGATGTGATGGAGGGGTAACCAGACTCCAGGGGAGGTGTGTGAGTGTGAGTGTGTGTGTGTGTGTGTGTGTGTGTGTGTGTGTAATGGGGGGGGAACCAGTGTGCGTCCAGGCTGCTCTTTTGTGCAGCATGCCCTCCCAGGGAACTTTTCATGTTACATGGCTTTGCTTTGGAAGCTGATTTTGGAAGGAATTGTGGAAAAATGGAAATAGTTTAAGGTGTGTGGTGTAATGGTATAGCATTATTGAACAGTTACGAATTCTGTGCACTGAGATCAAAGAGCTATGGATGCTGGTAATGGGATTTTACAGCCATTTTGTAAAAACTGTAAAATAGCTAATATTCACTTTGGCTTCAGTTACATTGAGGACTTCTGGTTGAAAATTGCAGATAAAGTGATGAGGATTCTTTACCAGTGTAAGCAGTAGACATTTCCTCTGGAGGAAAAAAGCCCACATACCAACACCATGGAAAAGTTTACATCTATATCCGTTTTTAAAAACCCATCACAGACATACACTGTAACTTTGGACCTATGAGATGAATAGATTTTTAAGACCCAGAGACCTATCGGCTTGCATCTTCTCTGTTGAATTTATTTGTGTTATCTGACAGGAAATGTTTACTGATCATTAACTACTAATCAGCTCTTTCGTATTAGATTTCCATAGTGTCTTCCAAATTTAAAATGTTTAAGTTGTTAGCCATACTGTATGCAGGAATTTCAGTTCATCTGGAATAGAAATTCCTTGTGTCCCATTTTCCACAGGTATGTGGAGTTCTCTAAAATGAGCACCTAGCTCCCTCTGTTTTGATGATTTGTAGAAAATGGATTAAAGTTTGAGCTGAATTTTTAACCTTCTTGTACAGAATGTTTTCTGTTGCCATACTGTATAAACACAGTATCAATTTGAAGTGCATTGTATGTTACCCTGTGTCCACAGCTGAGCTCTCCCCACATCTTTCTGTGAATAACTCTGTAACAATATAGCCCTGGTATAGTGTTTGATTATATCATCATATGGTTTCTAATGTTGAAAGCAATTATAAATTTCTGAGGACTTTTTGAAAAATTAATTCCATGAATAACCTTTAAAACTGAAGTGATTGGAAGGGGAGTAAGCTATTGGCACAGAGGAATCCCCCAGCCCTCAGCAGGTCCTGGGCAGAGGTTTCAGAATGCCATTGCTAGTTACAAAATCTTGCAAGTCTGTCCTCCATTCTCCTTGTATTTTGGCTCAGGGTACTGACACTAACTTTTAAGTAGTTCCAATTAGGCTTTGTTTTTCAAGTAAATAGGAATCCTAGATTGTGAATACTGGGACAAACTAGACTCTGATATTACTTCAATCGCTGCAAAAGTGAAGAAGTATTTCTGCCAGTTATACTAAATTGATGGATTACTTAGGTTGTTCGCACACTTCAAGTCACCATTCGTTTCTTGTCAGCCTGGTAAAGGTGCTAGCATCGTGGAGTGCTTTTCTCATCTAGTGGTATCATTTCTTCATGTTTAGGTTATACACAACTAAATCCTTACCTGACTTACAAAGTGCACAAGTATAAAATCTGTGACTCCTGAGAGTCTTGTTTAGATAGGGCTCAGCACAGTAACTAATTTGAACCAATTGTATTGATCTTTTTGATGGTTTACAAATTCTACGTGACAATTTACAGAAAGAATCTAAGGATCTTGTATACTCAAATTTTTTTATTTGTCAGAATTACAGAAACTTCATAGGCTGAGTATCTTCAAATTTGTGTTACTAATTTTGCTCTTCAGAATTCTGTAAAGAAATTAGCTGTTGTGGAAGATAACTTATTTTAAGAGTGGGGTAATACTGATAAAATTCTATATCTGTATACTTGATATAACCAAAATATTTAACAGATAGATATTTTATAGTTAAATAAGTTGGTGAGCTTACTCTAATCCATCTAGTTTAAATTTTTTAAAGGGTTTTTTTTGTTTTCAGTATCATACAAAGCTGGTGTTTTTTTCCTTCATTTTTAGTAAAACCCTGATTGTTACTATATACATTTTAATTTAGTGTTTTGCAAGTTTTCCTTTCTAAGCATTAAATCACTGTTTGATTTGAAAAGTTACATAACTAAAACATCCACCTATATCCATCTTTTAAGTTTTGTTTCAGCAATTATTTGCTCCCAGAGGTGTATAATCAAAATGATCATCCTTTTAGGCATTTAAAAAAAATTTTTTCTACTTAGAATTGTGTTCGTTGGAAAATTAAGATACATAAAATATTACCTTTTTTACACACATATGCACACACACACAGAGCCAGAAAAAAGCATGAAAAATTTTTCTGAATACTTTCCCTTAAAATGGTTGGACATATGGTTTCTGATGTGTTTACAGACTTAAAGGAAATATAAATTTGTTCCCTTTATATTGATAATATAGATGTTTTAGTTACCTAAGGGAAGAGTTTCAGCAGGAAAGAACTAAACTTTCAGCAAAAAAAGGAAGATAGTGTGTTCAATGTAAAAAGGCTATGAATTGTCCCTTGAACCACTTTTAAACTATTTTAAGATTCTCATGAATACTTCTTTGGAAGCATTTAGTACCTTGAGAGTATACCAGTCACTGCTTCAAAACAAAGGTGGAC